TCGGCGGTGGGGGGCAACTGTGAATACTCAAATTTTGAGGCTCAGTTTTGCTACAGTAAATTTGACTTTGCTAAAAGCATGTTTTCCCGGACTGCAAACAGTCCGGCCGGACCAGAGGCCATTTTCTTTGCTACAGTAAATTTGATCTTGTGCTACATTTAAAACATAAAAAAAGAATTAAAAAGGGGAGTGAATCTAATTGACGCTCAGCAATTTAGAGAAAAAGAAAAAGTAGAGAGATGTAAGATCCAACCCCATGAAATAAAAAGTAATTAAATTCTTAGTTTGTTGGGAATTTTTATAGTACGAAATTATTTATTCAAAGTATTAATATTTAAAGAAGAAGAGGTCTTACCGAAAAATCTTAATGTTTTTGCTAGTAAAAGTACTCCAATAAGTAATGCTCTTTTTCTTTCCTTGTTAAAAAAAAATTATTTGATAAATGAAAATCTAGATAAATATGCATTCTTTTATACTTTTGTTACCTTTTATCCTTTTTATGTTAAACAAATTCCATAACTGCATTATTAATCTAAATAAAAGACCTTTTGATTTTCTAATTGTGTTGCATTTAAATTTGTGGAAAGGGATGACTAATTTTGTCTATGGATGTTGAAAGTTTATAAAGCATCATCTTATTTAAAGCGTTAATGATTTTTGTTGAAATCCATATTTTTTATTTATCAAAATATTGAACAATTATTGGTGTTGTAAGGACCTTATTAATGTGAATACTCAAATTTTGATGGTCTCGAAAAAGAGCAGTTTTCCCGGACTGTGAATAAAATAATTTTCTACAGCTTGTGAATTTGGACCTTTGCTTATATAAATTTGACTTGCCTACAATAAATTTGATCTTTGTTACTAGTGCCTGTTTTTTCTCCGGGACGCAATACGAGGTCGGTTTATCCGAACCGGAGGCCATGTTTGGGTTGTGAAAACTCACCCGGAATAAGTATGCCAATGATGGGGACGTTGAAGACGTCCGGATAAATTACTGATGATTCGCAGAACGGTCCCGGTAATAATTTTTGGAGTCCGGATACTCCTGAAAACCCCTTGGAGGTGAGAATAAGGGGGACCACCCGCATTGCACTGGAGCAGCTTTTACCGCCGCCGCACACTGGCAGGCAGCGGCCGCCTCGTGTCGGCAAGCCGCCTTGCGCCTCCTGCTGTTGGCAAACATCTGGCCCAGCCAGGCGGCAGCAGCCGCCGCGCCTCTGCGCGGCAGCTGCCGCACCAGCCAGGCGGCCCCCTAACGCCCAGCCAGGCGGGCCCCCTCCGCCAAGCCAGGCTGTTCTTGTCAGCAGCCGCCGCCCCTTCCTGGGCGGCAGCTGCGCCCAGCCCTTGGCGGCACCTGCGCTCCCTGGGGTGCCAATTGTGCCTAGTAAATAAGCCATTTTTAGCCTATTTTTGACACCCTTTGTCGTCGTGTTGTATGGTGTGACGATCTTCCTCCCTCCCACGCTCTTTGCCGACTTCTTTACCGTCTTTTTGCCATTTTTAATTCAATTTTTATTATATTTGTGATATGTTGGACACTGATAATCAAGTAAATAAATTAAAAATTTAATTAATATTTCCCATGCGAGGAGCTTAAATCTGGAATTAAGAAGCGGTTCGATCGATTTAAATAGTTATGTAAAACGAAACTCTGCCTATTTAATTTTAGCGCTTCATGCATATTTCTCTTCTACCCCTAACATTTCTATAACGCATAAATGCATTCCACGTCATTGAATTGGCAAATTAATGCTCAAATAAAAAATGTAAGCTTAAATGCCCGGTTAATTAATTATATTGTGGTATTAAAGTTTAAATCCGACTATATCGAAAAAAAATATCTAGTTAATCGAGATTAACTATGGTTAATGATTCTTTTATTCTCGAACACTTTCGACTAAAGTCCAATAATCGAATAATTGTTCGCTAACGGCCTCAATCACGTTTTTTGGCACCAAATTGCCTACATTTAATCAATCATTTGGGCAACAAATTGCCTACTGTCTAATCAATTTTTTTTTAGCAAAACAAATGTTTCTTAAAAAAGAGCATAACCATTTTTAGCGACGAATCGCTTTTAAAATCAATCTTTCGGCAAAAATGCCTAAAATCAATCAATTTTGGGCAAGGCCTTTAAAATCAACCATCTTGGCGACAATCGCCTAAATCACATCGTTTTTTTTGGCAAACTAATTGCCAAAATCGCACACATTTCAGCCCAAAGGGCCCTAAAATCAGACAATCGCCCAATCACATCGTTTTGGCAAACAAATTGCCTAAATTACATCATTTTGGCTAAAAGCCTCAAAATCAACCATTTTGGCGACAATCGGCTAAATTACACATTTTAGCAAACGAATTGCTTAAATCAACACTTTTTCGGCTCGAAGCCTTAAAATCAATCAACTTCGGCCCAAAGCCTTAAATCAACATTTTTTGCGACAAATCGCCTAAATAAACCATTTTGGCTAAGAGCCTTAAAATCAACGATTTTGGCAACAAATCGCTCGACAAAAATCATTTTCGGCAATAATAAGCCCGAACACCAATTTTGGCAAGAATAAGCCCAAATCAACTCTTTTGGCTAAAAGCCTCGCCTAAAAAACCAAAATGCACGAAGCATACACACCACTTATGCATAAGCATACCCATTTCAAAAGCCCTCTAAAAAGAGGGCCTATCGAACACGTCGACTTTGATCTTCCATTCACGGAAGATACGTAGGCACTGTTGGGCATTTAACCCCGAAGCGGCAAGTCAAAAATCACATTTTCATCGGTCTAAATCAAATAATCACCCTGCAAAGCATTTTCATTCTGGTTAGTTCATCACTATGACATAGTTCGGATCCACTCGGGTTCGCCAGACCATGCCTTAACCATTTGGGTTAATTAATCTAATAATTAGGTTAATTAAAATTGGAAGTCACTTAGGTTTTTTCCTAGTTTTACCCTAAAAATAATAATTAAACAAGGTGGCGACTCACACATCACGTGCATTTCTTCCTTAGTCACATGCATCCATATGCCTATGATGTTTGAGGGAGGGGTTCACAATTAACTCATGTTTAAAATAAAGAATTTTTTTTCTTGATAATTAAATTTTTGCAAGAAAATATTTAAATTTTTGCAAGAATTCGGTATTGAACAATTATTATCATGTTAATGATTTTTTATATTTTTGAGATTGTGAATAATTGTTCCCAACCACATTAAGCTAGCTTTGATAGTTTATTTAGTTTGTGTTTTTTTGTTTTTGTTTTGTTTTTAGTTTTATTGTTTGAAGACAAGTAATGGTTTAAGTTTGGAGAATTTTAAAAAACTTGACAGGCTTTTTCGCAAGTGCACAAAATCGCAAACAAATAGTAAAGAGTGAGTAGAGTATCGTTCTCACGAGAATTATATACTAGGTACCAAAATTGTATTGAACTACTATTATTTAAACGAAAATAAGGAAAATTATATTAAGAAATTAAATTAAAAAACATAAAAGAGAATAAAAAAAAACCAAGTAAGGCAATTTGATGAAAAGAAATCAAAGATTAAAAGCTATTAGGGATTTTGACTTCACTTAATTCTATCCAATTTATTTTATGTATTTGATGATCAATTTTAATTGTTCAAGTAGGGAAAACAACCCTGAAATTACTAACAAGCTCTCCCGATGTATTGTTATCTATTTTAACCTGGTCTAATTACCTATCTTCCACTAACGCAATTAAACATGAATTAAATCATTAAGTTTTATGGTTTATTTATGAATTTATAATCTAAGGTCATTAACTTATGAAAACCCCCATGAGTCAAAAGTCAAACCATATAAGCTTTCAACATCAAAGTTATTATTCTCAGTTATAATTATACCTCTTCTGTAATTAAAAACCCTTCTCTGATTGTTGTTTGTATGAAATAAACAATCTAGTGAGGAAGATATACTAGCTGCCTGGAAGTATTAAGATGCAATAATTAAATTATTATTCATGAATAAGAAAAGCATAAATACTAAATATTCATAAATGGAATCATATATATATAAGCTTACATCAAAATCCCTAGATATATGAAATTTGTAGTTCAAATTAGTAAATAAAATTAAACCCAAATAAACTTGTAATATTCTCATAATCAATATGGAATATCCCTAGTATATGAATTTAGTTCAACATAGTAAATAAATTAAACCCAAATAAACTTGTAAATATTCTCATAATCAATATGAATATTGAAAATAAGATAAGAAGAGAGTTTAGAAATAAAAACTAGTCGACAATTGGCTTGTAGCGGTTCCTTGAATCTTGATCTCCAAACTGATTGCTTGAAGTCTTATAAAGAGAAACAATGTAGAGAAAAGGAATAATGGATGTGATGTGAATCTCCCCTTTTAGTATAGAGATTTCTTTTTATATAGACTTCAAAGGGTGTCTTTGAATTCGAGTAGAAAACTAGCTGTCCTAATTAGGAAGAAATATTATTTGAGTAGGAAACTAATTTTGTATTGTATTTATTTCCTATTAGGAGTCTTCTTTGACCAAATAACGCTGGAATTCAAACAATGTAAGTCTTATATTATTCTCATACAGCTCCATGCACAAGACACGCCCAGGCTTCAAATCTACATGGGCTAAATAATTAAATTCAACTCACCTGAATTTTCAACTTTCTTGTAGACTCGGCCGTGGCGTTTGACACAGCTAAGCCGTGTACTTTACTGACTTGGCTATGTTGAGCTTTTATTTCCATATTTCAGCTCCAACCTTTTTTGATGCAAATTTTTGCTATTTTCCTGCTAAAAACCTTTCAAATCAAGCTTATCAAAAATCACGGAAACTTAATTAAAAACATAAATAAATCTAACAAAAACTAATTAAAGTAATTAAAAACACTAAAAATTCTAATACAACCAATATTAAAAATACTATAAAAATAAGACCTATCAAATGGCTTGTTAAAAGCATTGAACGATTTAAGAAGGCAGTGCGAAAGTCTAGGAAGGCAAGCGGGTTGGGAGGATGTGTATTATTTCTGAACGTATGTTAACGCATAATTATGTTCTTTGTCAAATTAAGTGATGTGTAGCTGTATACATTTATCATATGGCATAATCATGTAGATTTTACATGTTGGCAATAATTAGAATGTGAATTTAAGGGTTCATGTGCAGTTACTATTTCACAATTTATATTCATTTGTGTTTTATAGATTTTCTATATAGATAATGTAAACCTAGGTAGGCCTATAAAGTGGAATGTTTTTTCGAGATATTTGCATGGAATAGAGCCGATTTACAAGAAGTCATTGCATCCGATGTGCAGAATGGCGATGGAATAGAGAGGTTAGTATGTTCATAGATTGATGGTTAAATTCGAATAATTGTATTCCCATGATGTACACATCAGATGGAAATTATATAGATACAATCATTACCAATTGTGTTGTTATGATTTGTAGATCTTGCCCATCAGATATGGGAAGCCTCATCCATTGGAGGCTGATGAGGTACAATGGGAAAGGGTAAGAGTTTCCAAATTGAAGGAGGTTGCCATCCTAAGAATTTGTCATCGCAAAGAAAATGATAATGGATCTTGTAAGAGGCGATGAATATTTGATGAATATGATGTAAGAAATGATTTATGCACCGACAGTGGTACTTAATACCGCTCAGAGATGCAATATTATTGTAAGCCCCCAAGACAGTTTGTTTCCTTTAAGGAAGGAGAAGCAATTTCAAAGCAAAGTTGAGCACATATGATAATTTTTGCACCTTACACATTTGTTTATGTCGTGCCCATGTTGCAAAGAAATAAGTTACATTTTATAATGATTAGGCAATTGGTAATTTATATTATATATATATATATAAGACATTAATTTAGTTTTATGCGAATAACTTTGTTGGTGTAGAGTTGCAAAAAATGCAATGGATAATTTGGCGGATGGAAAAGTTGCTGAAAATGAGAGAAGCAGGTGTGAAAGCAATGTCCGGCTTCGTGTAGTAAACCCATCAAGCGAAGTTGTTCCTCTTTCATTTGAATGCATGCAAAGTGTATTCATGTCCCCTCCCCAATTAAGATGTCTAGTTACATGGTTATGTAATTTGTTGAACTAAATTGTTTATGTTTACACATAAGGTTGATTTTTTTTCCATCAGTTTAATTCAAATTGTAATTTGTCATTTCGGCAATGTTCCTTTTGATGGGAGAAAACATATAAAGTTTTAGACGCATGATTCATAAATACAACTAGTTTTTAGTGTATAGTAAGATATATTGTGTAATGAAGGAGAAGCAAGTAGATGTCTTATTTTTAATTTGCCGAATTGTCATTTCAATTCATAATACTGATGTAGTATCATTGTTTCATTATATTAATACTCCAGCTTCACCATCCTCCTTCCATCTATACTTAAATTGAAATAGTATTTCTCTATTCCTAAATTATTAAATCATATGAAAAAAATAAATGTCTAAAAATATCTGAAAAAATATCAATAAGATTGAAAACTATAGCTCATTCTTGTACTCTCATTTGAATAATTGCTAAATACTATTACAATGCATGTATTATAAATGAATTTTGTGCTAATTGTACCTGAAATCATGTAATTAATGTCATAATTATTGATTAAGTTTTAATAGGCGATACTCCCTCCTTCAAATTTAATTTGCATGGTCTGACAAAACACGCATATTAAGAATTTAGTCAACAAAAGTTATTTTGCCCTTTTTTACCTTTAACTCATTAAGATATTAATAAAAGTCATTCATTTAATGAAAGATCATAAAGGTTATCATGAGAAAAATAATTATTTACATGTATAAATTTAGAAAGTTGGTCCTGACAAAACACGCATTATTAAGAATTTAGTCATACATAAAGGTATTTGCTCCGTTTTTCTTAACTCATTAAGATATTATAAAAGTCATGTCATTAATGTATAAGATGATATTAATAAAAGTCATTCATTTAATGAAAGATCATAAAGGTTATCATGAGAAAAATAATTATTTACATGTATAAATTTAGAAACCTCGCAAACATTTTGAGACATCCTAAAATTGAATAATAAGCAAATAAAGTGGGACGGAGGGAGTATTAAATTTAAGAGGCTTAAAATAAAATCATTATCTCAGAATGAAAACACAATTAGAATTTATTTTTGTTAAGTGTAAACTACCGATATCCAAATCCTATTACCAGGGACAGCTTAATCTAACTTAAGGCTTAATCACAGTTAAGGCTCTTGGTGCTCCAATCTTTTTAACTGCTATTGAAATTGAAATATATATATATATAATATATATATATATATATATATATATAATATATATATATATATATATATATATATATATATATATATATATATATATATATATAATATTGTACCATAATATTGTAACATAAGAGATGAATTTTAAAATTATATGAATGAAATGAAGTAAAAAGTTTTGTCTCTATTTCTCATGCTAACATGTGTTGATAATTATTAAAATTATCTCTATAGGATTAGACTTATCTAGATTCGGTTTATGCAACTATTTATAAACTAAACTAATTAAATAGAGATTTTTTATTTTCATTCGGTTTATGCAACCTATAAAATAAACTAATTAAAATGAAGATTTTTATTTTAAAAATAATTTTTATTTTCATTGATTTGTAAATTTCAAATGATCTCTTAATTTAAACAACAAGACATAAATTTTAATGCTACTAAAAACAAATCGATCAATTTTCATTTTAATGCTACTAAAAAAATCGATCAATTTTCATTAAAAAGGAGAAATAAAAAAAAAAGGAAAGAAAATCTTGATAGACAAATTGCCAAGTCCATTTGATGTGTTTAGATCAATGGCACATTTTTATTACCTTTTTTTTAAAGCAAAACATCAAAATTTTGCATTAATTATAATAAGGTAACAAACATTGCGGAACCTAGTTCCATACTTGGAACCAAGCAAAAGAGTATGAAGCTTTAGTAAAAAAAAAAAAAAAAAAAAGTACAATCAACCAAAGAATTAATTGGCTGCTTTGCATTTAGCTTGTCGGCGCTCTTGAATTTCAAAACATGATTTGCAAGCCAATCCATAGATAAAAAAGAGAGAGAGAGATGATTTAAAAGTTAAAAAATTGATTTGCAAGTTAATTCATAGATAAATATAGATAGGATTATATTTTAAAAGTCCTAATCAATACTTTTTAAACAATAGATGAATAAAAAGGATATATGAATGATTTTATGGTATGAAAATTTATAAAAAAAAGAAAAAGAAAAAGAAAAAAGAAAGATACAACTTAAATTAAGATTTAATTTAATTTAACTAAATTAAAATAATCATATAAAATTAAAAAAAAAATTATAGGAATGCATCAACAAACCAAAGAGGAAACTCTATAATCATAATATAATAGCAATGCAATAAATTACTTATTTTGATGGACTTGGGATTGCAAAGAGAAAAAAATTTCTGCCAAAAAAAAAAAGAAAAGAAAAGTAATTAACATTGATTTGAATTCTGAACTAATGGAAAAAAGAAATTATAAGTATGAGAAAACCTTGAACCGAAAGCTATGTATTATAACCATAAATTAAATCATAGTAATTATAACAAACAACATTACAATATCTACCGTGAAATCAAAGCATAGTTGTAATATCCTCAATTTTGTAGTTCTTTCTATTTTAGCTTTTTCGATGAATTCGGTTATCCGAATAAAAAGAAAATTTAAAATAATGAGAAACACTATAGATTCAGGATATTAATATTAATGAAATGAAACATTAATTGATCTTTACAAATCCATGTGAAAGCTTAAAAGAAATCAAAAATGAGTTGAAAGATGAATGACTTCTCGGTAAAGCACGATTTTACCTGAAAAGCCTGAAAAACGGTAATTTCCGTACGATTTTTACCAAGTGTTTTAACCAAAGTTGAGTTTAGGAATATTAATACACTTGGTTTAATACCTAATAGGAACTAAAGTAAGTGATTAAAAGATTAGAAGTGCCAAGGATGAAGGGAAAACAATATGGAGGATTATAGTGCAATTTGCAATTAAAGGACAATGGGAAGGAATTTTTTAATAAGTTTATTTATATAATTTTTATGAAGAAGTGAAGAGAAGCCGACACTTTAACCACCCATTTTGGGCAGTTAGGTCGTCAGAAGAGAGGAGAGGGTTTTGAGTTCAAAACCAAGCAAAAAGAGGTGAAATCCAAAACAAAGAATTTTCAAGTATTTCTTAAGAAAAGGTTAGTTATTTTCACTTCCTCCTTCATTTCTATGGACTACTTTTTGAATTCCATGAACTTTGAAGTGAGGTGCTTGTTTGTGTAATCTGATTTGCTGAAGATGAAGTGATGAGAAGTGATTTTAAGGTGATTTAAGATGATTGAAAGTAGTTATGCATGAATTCAAAGTCTAAGTTGCTTAAGTCACCAAGATGGATGATTTTGAGTTTGTTCTTGATATGCCATGAACTAGGGATTCTGATATTCTTATATTATGATGTTAGGATTCTGATATATCTTATATTATGATGTTGTGTAAGTAATAGAAGAGTTGAATTGCATGAATTTGTGCTGGAAGTGAGTTGAGAATGCTTGAGCAAATATATCATTGTTAGACCTGTTATAGTTGGGCTGTCTGAACTTCAGCTTCAGTAATTGACCTATTTGGCTCAACAAATGAACTTCAAAATTCATGAAAAGTTACATCGAGATAGGCTGAGATGTTGGGTAGGTCGAGGTCGTGTTAAAATTTAAAGGCCATTGGATAAAAGCAAATGGAGTTATAAGTAAATCAATGCAGGCTGCTCAGCATGAGAAAAACTGAACTTCAGATTATATATAATTATGTCATTTAAAAATGCAAAAATGCAAATGAGCTTTAAAAATTATGAAATTTTACAGGGAAGTACCCTAAGATGTTGGGAACATGCTGTAAAAATTTCAGGGCAAATGAATTTGAGGAAGTCCAGATATAATCAATGGAATACAAGCTACTCAAATGCTGAAATTCTGCATTTCATAAACATTGAACGAATTTAGCATGCTATTGACTTCTATTGTTTTCATTGTTGTTATTCTGTGTCTAGGGTGTGGTTAAGTGTTGGATATGAAGTGTTTCATGCTTAAACTCAGATCATATAACACTTGGACAAGCATAGTGAAAATGAAAGAAAAAGCATGATACTACATTCTAATGCTTAATTTACATTCCTATAGAAGTGCATGTGTTTACATTGTGTAGTATGATCTTAATGTGAGTATTAATATCATGCTACAGCTTCTGAGAGAAAGGGAGTTGAGGAGAGGATTACTAGAGGAAAAGGGCTAGGGGAGCCATCTAGTTCAGGTTAGTGTTATTATTCCTTTCCTACTTTTATTTAAACAAAATGAGATTGAGTTTGCAAAAAATTTTCTATGGATGTGCTTTATGAATTATAACTATATATATAAAAAATATATATATTAGTGCTTTCATAAATTTTTAAAGAGGAAAAAGATTATTTTGAAAGCATATGACCGAATGATATTTTAAATGAATTTTATGATTCTTATACTGTGAAAGAGGAGGATGTTGGCCAATTGATATCTGTAGTATGAGGGGTGGCCGTGATTGAAGTTTTTAGCAGTGGTTGGTGAAATGAAATGTTTTGTCCATTGTGAATTTTGAATATTATACCATAAATGGAATGGTTTTAAAAGTCTTACAGCTGATATAGATATGGTTATTACCCGAAATATCATTTCATTTGTTGAAGTTTAATATTACGATCGATGAACATGGATACTCACCTACAGAATGATATATGATTGATATGAAAAATTCTCTGCCTCCATGTTGAGGTTGTAGATTGCTCCCTCTTCTGTTGAAATCATATCACAGATTGAGGTTGTAGATAGCAGGTCTAGATGTGCACATTAGACATTGGATGGCCCCTCAGAATTGACTCTATAAAAGCTGTAAAAGACTATATTATGAATTGATGATTTAAATGGTATTGATTTATTTTGTTTCTTATTTTCTTTACCTGGTGGATTACTGAATTGTCATTTCCTGTTAATTATTTTTATTAGTACACCACCTAGCCCATATGCTTTAGCGCTAGTTGCTTTTTGTACTATCCAGGTAAAGAAAAGGAAAAAGAACCAAGAGAGGATCATTTTTATTTGATGTAGATAGTATGCTACTGATGTAGCTATTGTATATTTGACTTCTTTTAGAATATGTATGATGTATTAAACATTAACAGATCATCTATGTATATTTGAGCAGATTCATGTGAATTATGATTGTATGAATTTGAAAATTTATAGTCTATTAAG